GAAATTCCATGAACTTTGAGTGCCAATAGTTATAGAAAAGCTTCAGGCCTTTTATTCACAGGGTCGCTATGAGTCATGCTCAACTCAACAGCAATCAACAACAACAGTGACTGTTCTATGTTGTGGTTGTGTGCCATCGAGTCAGAGCCAGCCCATAGCTGACCCTCTAGTGTGTTTTCAGAAGCAGTTAATGGCATGGGAGGAGATTGCCTATCCTTCTCCAACGGAGCAGCTGATGTATTTGAACCATGTGCCTTTGGGATTGTAGTACAGTTTCTTACCCCTAGGCCATCAGAGCTCCCTTAATGGACTATAAGCAACTGTAAATCTTTATGGAAGGAAACTATCCATCTTTCTCGAGGTTTCGAACGACTGGCTGACGTTTTTGGTTAGCAATGCAGCTCATAGCACCCTGTGCCCCACCAGGGCTCACACTCTCAGACCACAGGCCCATCCTAAACAATAGGATTTCCCATTTTTTTTATGGAGTCTTCTTCGGTCAGAGGTCTAGGCCCTGATGTCTCATGTTGTTGTTGTTGTTGTTTAATGCCGTTGAGTCGTTAGACGACTCATAGCGACCCTATGAGCGAACAGCCTGAGCACTGTTCGTACATAGAGTTTCCAGAGGCAAGCCATTTTGGAAGTGGATGCCGCTCCTGCTTCCAGGCTTGATTTAGTCGGGAAGTTCCAGCCAACACTGTCCACGATGGGTGCCCATTACCACGATTGGCACATCACTGTCACAGGCTTCAGCATCACAGCAACCACGAGTCACCTCTGTACAGCAACGCACAGACCAGTGCTCTACCACCTAGAAGAATGTTTGACAGGAAGACAATTTGAACCTGGCCGAGGGCCACAGATGACAATCACCCACCTTCGGCTTGGTTGCACAGTTTCCTTCCACTAGGCCAACGTAGCTCTCTCTTGGTCGTCGTCATAGATGGGCTTAAATCCTGGCTCAGCCATGTATTCACGGTGTGACAACAGGCAGGTTCCTCCACCTCTCTGGGTCTCACTTTGCATTTCCATAAAATGACATCATGGTAGAGTAGTTAAATGAGATGTTATTGCTGTGAAGTAAGATAGCAGCTTCAAAGTGCCCAGCACAGACCAAATACTCCACAGAGTTGGAGAGTATGTGACTTTGTTCTTAGGGAGTGCTGCTGCTAACTCAAAGGCCATGCACCTCAAATCAGCCAGTGGTTCTGTAAGAGAAAGATAGGCACTTACTTACAGCCTGGGGAATCCAGTTAGGGGGGCAGGGAGGGGCTCAGCTATTAGCTGGTTCTGACTCAATAACTGAATGAGTTGTTTTTAAAATCCAGCTGAATACCTCTTCGTACTTGGGATCGTATTTTGGCTTAACAGTCACCCTATGAAAGGAGTGACAGGGCCCATCGAGTTCTCAACTCGCTGCCACCGAGTCAGAACCTACTCACAGCTGATGCTCCAGTGGGTTTTCAGATGCTATAAATTGCAAGAGAGGAGATGATTGCTCATCTTCCTTCCAAGGAGCAGCTGGTGGATTCAAACTGCCTCTCTTTGGGTTAGCGTCACAGCTCCTTATTCTAGAGGCCACTTGTACATATTCATTAGTTGTTTGCTATTTGCCCAATGAGGTATTTGTCAGATACCCACTGTGTGCAGGGACCAAGGGTGCAAACCCTCACACCAAACTCATTGCTATCAAGTTGATTCCAATTCATAAAAACCCTATCAGACAGTGTAAAAGTGCCCTGTAAGGTTTCCAAGGTTGTAACCTTTCTAGAAGCAGAGTGCCGTGTCATTTTCCCTCTCATGGAATAGCAGCTGGATCTGAATTGTTGACATTTCACTTAGCAGCTGTGTGCTATAATCACTATGCCATCAAGATCGTTGTTGTGTTCTGTCAAGTTAGAACCGACCCATAGCTGACCCTCTAGCAGGTTTTCAGAGGCAGTTAAGCGCATGGGAGGAGATTGCTGTGAAGCAGCTGATGGATTCAAACTGTGTGCCTTTGGAATTGCAGATCAGCTTCTTGCCATTAGGCCACCGGAGCTCCAAGGCTTCTTGTTATTGTTATGTGCCATTGAGTCACCTGATACTCGTAGCAACCCTACATGCAACAGCCCTAAACCCTACTCTATCCTGCACCAATCTTATTGTCTCTGACACACCTAACCCCATTACCCCAGTCACTGAATCAATACATCTCATTGAGGGTCTTCCTCTCCTGTGCTGTCCTCCCACCCTCCCAAGCATGATGTCCCTCTTCAAGGGCTTATCCCACCTTGCAACATGCCCAAAGTATGTTAGATGGAGCTTCAGAATCCTTGCTTCCAAGGAGCAGCCTGGTTTCACCCTCTCCGTGGTATACGCAATACTCTTCTCCAGCACCACAGCTCAAAGGCATCAATTCTTCTTCTATCATCCAAGGTAGTTCCCCCAGCCCTCTTCACCTTCTGGACCCATTACTCTGCAAAATCCACTTCTCCCATGTTCATCTGAGACTTCTCAAGCATGCCTTTTAATGATTATATGTAAAATCTCGTTTCCAAGCAAGGAGGATTATCTGGCACCCAGACCTTGGTCTCTAAATCCCATCTTCCAATCAGAAACACCAGGCCTGAGGGAAATGACCGATTGTGGGCTAGGGCAGTGAAAACACAACTTACAGGACAGGAAGTGCCAGAAAATATGGGCGGAGCATGTCACAGAGCCCTTGGAACCAAATGGAGAAAAGTCCCAGTGGGTAAAACAAGAAGTCAAGCAGCAAAATAATAATGTAGAATTGAATTGTAACTCAGACTAGAAAATGAATACATGAGTCCCTGCTGCTAGAAATCAGTAACTGAATGAACAAACAAATGAAGGATAAATAAATGAAGAATTGCAAATAACATGTAGATACTGTCCTTCCAGAGGTGATGTTTAACCTCAGCTCCCTCAGATGTTGCTGGAACTAGAGATACACTTCCCCAAAGTCAAGTTTTTGTTGTTTGTTTGTTGTGTTTTTTTTTATATGCACACCCATGTTTATTGCGGCCTTGTTCACAGTAGCAAGGAGTTGGAAACAACCCAAGTGTCCATCAACAAATGGGTAGAGAAGCTGTGGTATATTTACAAAATGAAACAACACTACACTGCATTGAAAAACAAAGAACTCACGCAATGCTACTCAAAATGGGTGACCCTGGAGGACACCACTCTGAGTGAAGTATCCCAGTCACAAAAGAACAAATACTGCACGGCGCCACTGCTATAAAATAGGACTGACATCAGGGTTGGGGGAACACTGAGAAAGATGGGTTCAATAATGTATACTGCATTGAAACAGATGAGGGAGAAAACTGTTTAAAAGGGACATGTGATTAGGTATTTTTGTCATGACAGGAGTCCAGAGCGAAGGCTGCATAGTGAAGTGGGAAAATTCCTCAGTTATTTCAGTAACTTTAGAGTGAACAAACGTGGGAGAACTTGGCACCCTAACCAAGTAGTGAAGGTCAACATCACCGGTGATGTAATGAGGGCATCATGTGTCCCCTGAAACCTCAGAACCTCAGTGTCATCAAGGGAAAAACATTAGACAAGCCCAAATCCTACAAAATACCTGATGAATATTCTTCAAAATGGACAAGGTCATGGAAAATAAGCTGGAGAAACTGTCACAACCAGGAGACTACATGCCATGTGGTACCGGGCTGGGACCCTGGAGCTGAGGAAAAGGACATCAGTGGAAAACTCCAGGGAAATCCAAACCAAATGTGAACTTCAATTAATGTAGTGCACCAATGTTGATATTTTAGTTTTGATAGTTACCATAACAGATGATTTTATAATGGGGAGGGTTTGAGTAGTTCAGCAGTAGATTCTTTCCTTCTATGTGGGAGAACTCATTTCACTCAAGTTCAGTGCCGTGTTGTTGTTGAGCACCACTGAGTTGGAACGGACCCATAACCTGACCCTCCAGCGGGTTTTCAGAAATAAATCACACAGATAGAGATTGCCCATCCTTATCCCACGGAATAGATGGTGGATTTGAATTGTGTGCCTTTGGGATTGCAGCACAGCTTGGTTTCAACTCATAGCTGACATTCTATCACATTTTCAATGCTGTAAATCGTAAGGAGGAAACCATCCATCTTTCTTTCTTTCTCTCTTGGAGGCACAGCTAGATTCAAACAGCCAAAGAGGTGTGGCCTTTGGGTTAGTCAAGTCTATCGAACTATGTCAGCAAAGCTCCATGTGGGAGACTCAGGTTCACTCCCCAGGCCCTGTGCCTCATGCACTGGTCTATCAGGGAAGGCTAGAGTGTAGTTAGGACATTTAAGAGTTTTCAGCAGAACTTTCAGGCTCAGATGGGAGCCTAGGAAGAAAGGCCTGGAAGTTGTCTTTGAAAAATCAGCCCATAATAACCCAATGGATCACAAACGTCTGAACCACAACCCCTCATGGGGATAACGAAGGACTGGGCAGTGTTTGGGGGTCAACATGAGTCAGGCGCACCCTCTAATACAGCTAACAACAATACAACCAAAGATTGGGATTCAATCCTAGGACTTCTGACTCTAAGCCTTTGTGTCTCCACTGCCACACTTCCTAACTGCCCACTTCACTTCTGAGTGACCTCCTGTCACAGACAAGGGTGCTCAGGTGAGACGAGGCTGTTTAAAGTCACACAGCTTCTAAATGGCAAAGCTGGCTCTGGTCTGAGATCTGAGGTCTGGTTTCCAACAATTGACCACCAAAGTCTACTCTATGCTCCTAAATAGACGAATGGGTGAGAAAAGAAGGTCACGAGCAATGCTGGGACATCTGCACCTTGCCAAGTCCCATCTCCACCAAAAGCCAGCCAGGAAGTCCCTTCTGCAGCAAGGAATGAATGACCCTTGCCCCTTTGGTTTTGCTACATTTATTTTGGCTTTCAAGATAGATATATAATTTTTTTTCCATGATAAGAAGAGATGGAGAAAATGATACTTCCTTTTATTCTGTGTTTCGCATGGCTCCGCGCTGGGTCAGCAGGGAGCCAGCACCGGGCGTCTTGGGCAGGACGTGCAGGGTGTGCAGGGGTGGGCGTAGCCCACCAGGCGCGGGACGCTGGGGAAGGTTTTGCGCATGCCCATGCACCGCTCCTTGTCAATGCAGAGCGTGTTGGCTTTGATGGCCAGCTCGTGCTCCAGCCGGGACTTAGTCATCACCAGCAGCTGCAGCGTGTCCTGCGTCTCCCGCAGCCTCAGCTTCAGGGTCTGCATGGTGTCGTCGATGACACACACCTCGTTCAGGAGCCTGGATGAGAGAGAAGGGGAAGCACAGCTTATCCCTGCTCACTCCCAGAAATGTGCCAAGCGCTGGGCAAGAGCAGTGACCAAGACAACCTACCCAAGAAACACAGACTATTCCAAGGAATCACCAGGGTCCCAGGGTGGTGCTGTTGGTTCACACACCGAACAAAAGATTAGAGGTTCATGCCCACCCAGACGTACCTCGTGAGAAAGGCCTAGCAATCTACTTCTCCCTCCCAAATCAGCCACTGAAAATCCCACAGGGCACATATTTATGACACTCATGGGTTTGCTACAAGTTGGAGTCAACTTGATTGAAAATGGTGTTCAAGGGATTTGTAAGAAGGGCTCTACAGAGAGCAAGATGGGAGAATTAAGGGGATGCAAGCTAGCATCTTCTTTCATTGAGCCCGGAGGGAAGGTGAAACTATCAGAGACAAAGACCAAGTCTGCAGCCTCCAGGGCTTCCTGTCCTTGACTCTAGTGGGAAGCTAGAGGGTCTGCAGAGCACAGTGGAGCTAGACAATCACCCCTCCTGTGGACAGCCGGCAAGCCTATGGTGTAGAGGGGTGAGGCTTCCCCGGATAGACAGCCATCAGGTGGCACAGCCCTGGATGTGGCCAGACCTGGCAGTCCAGCTCCCTCCAAAGGCCCTGCTGCATTGTATTAGATGTCCTACCAGATAGACTTTTTAGACTCAGGTTTCCTGGGTGTCCCCTAGACTCACCCCTCCACTCTCAGGGAATCCCTGGGGTTCTGGTACTCACTTGGACTGTGCCATGTCCCTGCACAGCTCTATGTTGGGGCGCCAGGCTCGGCACTCCAGTCTCGTCTGCGCCATCTTCAGTGGGCACTCCTTAGCCAAAATGGATCTTTCCAGCAGCATGATAGTATTCTCAGCCTGTAAGAGCTCCTGGACCGTCTGCAGGAACACACAGGCTGTCATCACCCTCCAAGCCCCTGCAGTCTCACTCACAAACACAAGGTAAAGCAGGTGCTTGAATGCCTCTGGAGACAGGCAGCTTACTCCTCCTAAAACACAGCTTCAGTCATCTCTAATCCCTCATGAGAATGAACACGGGCATGGGATAAGCACCAGGCTTGGTCATGTTTGTTGTTGTGCACTGTAGAGTCGGAACCAACCCATAGCTGACCCTCCAGTGGGTTTTCAGAGAGAGTTAATCACACTGGAGGAGACTGTCCATCCTTTTCCTTTGGAACAGCTGGTGGCCTTGAATCGCATACCTATGGGATTGCAGCACAGCCTCTTACTGCTAGGCCACCAGAGCTTCCTTGTGTTTAGTCTTTTGGTTCTTTTTCCATCGTGTTTAGTTGTCTTTTCTCTCCGATATCCACTGCAGGAATCAGCCTAATCAGCATTCAGCGTTCCGTGAGAAGATGGGAAAGCAAGCAGGCAGGAAATTGGGTTTTTTTAAGTTAACACAAACAATCCAAAACAATGGTTACTCTCTAATTCCAATTTAAACTTTTTACAACCCAGTATATGTTTTTCTTCTGTCTAAGGAAAAAAAGCTTGGTGGTCTGCTACAGCCTTTGAAAACCACATGGTTTTCCATCTGCTTCCAGCCATTGAAAACACTGGCACTAGTGAAACCCTACTTAGAAAGTTCTATTTTGAAATGATGCTGTGGTGGTTGTACGGCGTCAAGTCAGCTCTGACCCATAGCTGACCCTCCACTGGGTTTCCTGAAGCAGTAAACTGCAGAGGAGGAGACTGCCCATCTTTCTCCCCGTACCTTTGAGATTGCAGCTCAGCCTCTTACCATTAGGCCTCGAGAGCTCCCTAAAATCATGAGGATCTGTTAAAACAGATGCAGTGGGAGAGAGGGATAAAAGATAATATCAAGAGTGCACCAACACGGACCACTGGCTATCTAAGATATAACTCTCCATTTCTACTCAGGAGCAAAAGAGATAAAAGGCAAACCAAATACTCACAGAAGAAACTAGTCTACCGACTAGTGAGCCATGAGACCAGAAGAACTAGGTGGTGCCCAGCTATCACCACCAACCATTCTGACACTACAGGTCTCAGAGAGAATGGGAGGAAAATGCAGAACAAAATTCAAAGCTTTTTAAATTTTTTTTTTTCCATTTAAAAAAGACTAAACTTACTGGACCAGTAGAGACCAGAGACACCATCAGGACAATGCCTTGAGATCTCACTTAGTCTTTGTACCAAGACCACACTCAGAGGTTACGTTTCAACTAAGTAAAATAAACAATGGGGGAGGGGGGAGAAGAGCTATCTGTAATTTGTTCAATCCTTTCTAACTTTTTCACTTTGGACTAATGGTGAGTGATAATTATTTTCAAATGAAGGTTCCCACAGACCACCCCTCACATCATACTCAAACATTGTGTCTTCTGATATACAGGCTAGCCTTGAAGAATTTGGAGGCTGAGGCATAGACCTCCAGTGCAGTATAAAATCAGATAACTTATACTTCACCCATGAACAGTATGGGCTTCTTCTACAGGTCTCCCCTTAGGTGTCAATTTCTTTTTTCCTGTTGCTATTGCAATGTTTTGAATATCCACTTACTATGCTGTTTAAAATGTTAATCATCTCCCCAGGAGCAGTTTCCCTTTCCAGGAAATTATACACAAGAGACTGCTCATGAGGAAATAATTAGCATCACACTGTATTCAAGTGGATATACACAACCCCTTGCAGATTTCAGAAATAACAACAGGCGGGAAATTCCTGTGGACTCCTGCAGTTCAAGCCCATGTTGTTCAAGGGTCAACTATATTCTCATCCACACATGACCACACTGAGGCAGAATGAGGCATTTGTAAGAGTGTTGAGCCTCCGTTAGAAGCTGTAAGACCTTGACTGAGTTGCGTCCATTCTCCTATCTGTAGGATGTATCCATTCTGTCAAACCTGCATGTATTCTCCCATCTGTTAAATGGCAGTGATAAAAGCACCCATCTGTAGGGCAATGTAAGGATCTGCTTCCCAATTGCTTGGCCCTTGCCAAGTATGTGGGAGAGGTCAGCTGTTGGACTTTCCCATTGTTTCTCTAGTATAAGACCAGTAGTTTCAAATAGCGTTCCAAGGAGCCTCACCCAATCCTCATGCTAGAAACCAATCACCTCCCTGTGGTGAGTCGTGTTGGTGCTTCCACAGGTAGACCTTCCGGGGATGTTTATTGCAGAGTAGGTTGTGCCCTCCACCCAGATGGTGAACTGCCCTTGGGGAGAATGCATGGTCCATTCTGCTTCCTTCTATGTCCTCTCATCATTTTACAGCTGCCTCTATCTCCCTGTCCTGGGACTAGAGCCTACCACTCACCCCTACCAGACCCTCCTGCATCTGACTTTATATGTGACATTTCTAAAAGCATTATGGTTTGAATGAAAGGTTACAAAGAAAATGGTTCTCTGGTCAACTATTCACACACATTTTGCTTTGTGACATCACAAAAGAACAAACAAGTCTATCTTGAAGAAAGTGCAACCAAGATCACCCCTTAGATGTGAAGATGGTGACACTTCTCACATACTTTGGACATGTTGTCAGGAGAAGTCATTCCTTGGAAAAGGCATCATGCTAGAAAAAGTGGAGAGAAAGAAGATGATCCTCAACAAGATGTGTTGACAGTGCTGGCAAAAACCGGCTTACGCATGACAGGTTGTGATAGGCTCAGAAGAGAGCAAGGTTCACGTCCATTGTTCATATTGTCTCGATGGGTCATAGTTGACTCAAGGACATATAACAACAACAAACATTGTAACTATAGTCTTCCTCTTGCTTCCTGTAATTCTCACTTACATTAATCTTCCTATCTTATCTCTTCCTACCAGACAAGAGGAGATCAATTGAGCCCCTTAGATGACTGCTCAAAAGCTTTTCTGACCCCAGCCACTTCTCACCAAAGTACAATGTTGAATATTGCCTTTGTGGACGAGGTTATGTCAATTGACTGTTGATGTCCCCTGAGTGTGACATTTTTTTAATATTAAAAAAAGGACCATATTGCCCAACAATCAAAATAGTAGGTACCCAAGCATGTATGTCTTCTATGTTGTTGTTGTTATGTGCCGTCAAGTTGCCTGCTACTCATAGTGACCCTACATACAACAGCCCTAAACCCTGCTCTATTCTCTGCCAATCTTATTGTCTCTGACACACCTACCCCCATTATCCCAGTCACTGAATCACTCCATCTCATCAAGGGTTTTCCTCTCTTGTGCTGTCCCTCCACAAGGTTATCAATAGCAAACAAAATATTCATTTTCTTCACTTGCTCCAACTCATGTCTTCATGACCAAGTCTTCATTTTGTACTCCCAGAGTGTTGTCCGCCACACCTGAGACTAACAAAGACTTCTTGAATACCATGATGAAGGTCCTAAACACTCATCCACGGCTGCCTACAGGATGTAGCCCAATTCCACTTGCAACGTGTCACTGTGGTCCTAGTGTTTTTGTTCGTAACCACCTTTGGACAAATTCTTGAAAGACATTTATCAGATGACCGTTCTCACTCCTCACTTATTGCCATGGAGTCAAAACCAAGTCCAGTGGATTTCAGAGGTTGAAAACGGCATGGGAGGAGATTGTCCATCTTTCTTCCTCCTGTGGGGCTACATGTAGGTCCAGCTCCCGGAAAGGTGCCACTTTTGGGCTAGCAGCCAACTCCTTAACATCAGAACTTCCTAGAATGATAATTTTATCTCCAAAACTTGGGTTTTCATCTTGGAAAGCCCAGCAATGGCTCTGACCCATGGCCTGTCTTACAGGCACTGGGCCACACTGCAAAGAGTACCTTCTGCATACTCTTCATCCCACAGCCCATGGGAAAAGCGCTTCCAGGGTTTCCTTAAAAAATAACCTTTTCCTTTTTTATAGTTCCCTTTTAGTCAACTTCACATAGTAAAAATAAATAAGAGTTGAATCTTGACATATGCAAACACCTGTGACACTATCCCCATAACCAAGATGGATGACAAACACATCTGTCACCCTCAACATTTCCCTGCACCTTCCTGTAGTCTCTGCTGCTTACTCCTCTTTCCCTATGCAGCCTCTGGTCTGTTTCATGTCACTCTAGATCTGTTTGCATTTCTGGAATTGGGATCATGCGGTATGAGGGGCAGGGAGGAGGGGAAGAGGCAGGGGATGGGGTGGGCAGCATTTCCAGAGGAAAGGAAATCACCACTGAGCATTCCCAGTATTGCAAGGAAATTATGGAGCAGACTCGATTAACTCTTCTGTCTCACTCGCTAGGGTATCAGCTCCAAGAGGCATCTCTTCACCACCAGATCGGTGCTTCACACACGGCTAGGTTGTCACATAACTACGGAATGCTCAGTTAAACAGGAATTCATATCAAAGATTATTTCTTTTTTTAGCAGAGCATACTTTATGTAATAATTGGGGCAAACTTATACTAAAAACCAACTCAGTATTGTTGTTGTTGTTGTTATGTGCCGTCAAGTCGCCTGCGACTCATAGCGACCCTATGTACAACAGCCCTAAACTCTGCTCTGTCCTGTGCCAATCACACTGTCTCTGACACTCCCAACCCAATTATCCCAGTCACTGAATCAATCCACCTCATAGAGGGCCTTCCTCTCCTGCGCTGTCCCTCCACCCTCCCAAGCATGATGTCCCTCTCTAAGGACCGGTCTCTCCTCACAACATGTCCAAAGTATGTTAGACGGAACCTCAGAATCCTTGCCTCCAAGGAGCCACCCGGTTTAATCCTTTCCAGGATGAATCTGTTTGTTTTCCTAGCATTCCATGGTATTCTCAATACTCTTCTCCAGCACCACAGCTCAAAGGCATCAATTCTCCTTCTATCCTCCTTGGTCATTGTCCAACTCTCTGATGCATAACAGGTGATTGCGAAGACCATGGCCTGTATCAGACGCACCTTAGTCTCCAAAGA